CATCACAGCCAACTGGAGGTCCGATGGCGTCACCACATGACAGTTCGATCGTCGTTGTCGATGATGCCCCCTGTGTGCTCCACAGCAGGCTGTGAGCAGAAACGGTGACTTGCGCGTGAATTTGCGTAAAGTGATAGTTGGCCTGCGTAGCATCTAACGCAGAAACTCACAAAGTGTTCAAGTAAAACGTCTACGCCTCTTCAAACCTGGACCAACCCATTCCCTCTAAATACTCGTAGATTGGAAGTAAGAAATAGTACTTCAAGCCACGTTCGTCTATCGTATAGATGTGGATATCTGGTGGCCATAAATCACGTATGGCGAGATCCACAGTCTGCTGACAGGTAAGTGGGGTCCTCTACTATACCGTTGTCCACTATTCTTTTCCGTGTTGTTCTGCTATCCGTTTCCGTGTTATGCGCTTACAGGCATAACACACTTGCAAAGCAAACTTGTTTGAATAATTTGGAAACTAATTTTGCACAAGCGTTTTATCTCGGCACATCCGTTATGCGCACGGGATTCTGCCCACTTTCTAATTTGCTGGTGTTCTCGAGATTTACAGCGCTTCCTGTTGGTTACCGAACGCAGAATTAGGACTTAATTTGACGTCTGATTTGTCTCGGAACCCAAGCCCCTCAACTGAGTTAAAGCTTGTTTTGTGCGTCTGACTAGACTTTTTAGCAGACATGCATCCATTCACCCCTAGTTTTCTTCCAAACATCGCATTGGATGTCCAAAGTGGTCAGCTTATAGTCTGGATTATCCAAGGGTTGGTGCCTTTTGTCTACTTTTACTTGAGTAGCTTATGGTTATGACTTCGATCGTATAACCGAAAATTGTGGAAAGACAATATGTGGCGTTTATGGTTTTGCTGTTTATTGCAAACCGAGAATATCACACAATTTCTCAAATAGTGCATAACAGCGCTTTAGCAACATCGTTTAAGTGAATAAATCTCAAGTGCCGTTTAAACTCGCTCGATAGACAAATAGACCCATTTGACGTTAAACAAAATCGCTTAGTAGGAAAAGATATTATTACAGTGAGATTTCAGTTCAAGGTGATGAATACCATTATACAGCAGCGCTTTGTATACGAGTATAGGCGGGGTTTCGGATGAACACTTATGAATACTGCACTTGGAAGAAACTTACCAACGAAGTAGAAAGCTTGTTTAAGTATCAACAAACTGTTCAAAAGTTTCGTCGTTCCAGCTCGTAATTACCACGCCACAGGTTTGTCTTGTATCTTCTAGGGATTCCAAATGGAGCAGGCGATAAGCACGCGCTTGTAAATTTGACAAGTTTATGTACCTGAGATCAGAAGGGACAAGGCAGGCCGAAGCGCGTTGGAAATCAACAGATGTCTGCTCTAGCATATAGGTATCATAACGGGCTTTTGTGTATTATATTTTGTACTTATCCGCTGGAACAATGTTGAAGTCGGGATCAGCTAAATTTCACCAAAAAAGATTAGGTGTCACGCGCGTACGTCTTCCGTAATGTTAAAACTTGAAAAATGGTATATATCGGTTTAAAACTGTTTGGTTATGAGGTTTTTTGAAGACCACGAAATGCTTGTTCACAAAATCTTGTGCCTCTGCATTAACTTGTGTTGCTTGTAAAGCTTACAATATGGCCCAAATCCACCGATAAATTTTATAAACCTTTTACCGTCTCCTCTTAATGGCGTACGAGAATGTATAATTTCTTGCAGACGGAAAATTTAAAGCGTGTAGTTTTTCAGTTTGATATACAACTGTAGCGGCAGGCTGAGTTCCAAATTATTGGAGTAATGGGAAAGTTTTTTTAAAATCGAATGTACAATATTTAAAGAAGACGTTATTTTCTTCCAAAGGAACAAAATAACGAATATTTGTATGCATGTTTTCTATGAAATATATTTCAGTTTATAATGACATCGACAGTCAATGAGGAAATATCCTTCCAACTGGGTAGTTTTGTTTTACAATGTATGTTTTGCAGTTGGCAACAAAGAAGTTAGTCAAAGGCCGGTGTGAAGTGATTTCTCAAACAATGCACCAAAGCGCCTCAGCGATATCGTACAAGTGGATGGAACCAAAGTGCCGTTGAAGCAGTTGCTGTTGGAAATAAGTCCTCTTGGAACTCATTAGCGCCCTCTTGATCGGCATATTGACCCATCTGACGTTGGGGAATACTGCTGCCCAACAGCTCTTCGTATACGGGCGTTGGCTGTCTTTCAAATGAACATTAATGCACGCTAAACTTGGAAGAAAATTACTATAGATAATAGATAGCTTGTTAAAGTACCGACCCGCCGCACAACCGTTGTGTTGTTTGAACTCATTATCACTGCATTATAGGTTTGTCGAGTACTTTCTGAAAATTCTAAATATAGCAGACGACTAACACGCTACTAGGAATTTGACCAATTTATCCACCTAGCATCAGAAGGCAGGTACATGCCGATAAACCATTGGCAATCAGCAATAATCGCGAAAAAGCTCTTTGTCTCTGGCGTGTTGGTTCTTGTCTAATAGAACGAAATTGGGTATCGACAGCAGCCAGGCCGGAAAGTCGAACAGAGTCTCACGCGCGTACTGCTTTGATAAAACTTTATTTTTATGTAGTTTAAATTGTTCTACTGACGTATTTGTAAGTTCAGATAAGGCAATTTGGAGAAGATGCCAGTTATAGGACGCAAAGATGTCGAAAGGCTTCGAGAGTGCTGGTTAACCGTATTATGGTACTAAGCGAAGGAAAGAAATGCATGAAAAATATACAGAAATTTGGGTTCTTGAAAAATAATACGCAATTGTAACAGAACTTCATTATACATTTCGAGGTGGCATAAAAAAAGTTAAGTATTTGAGGTTTAACAAAACAAAAAGTAATGCGTCAAAACCAACGTTTTTAATATCATGTTACCTTTCTTCGAAGTTGGCTGCTACTGCTAATTCGATCGGGGTTCTTTTTGTGGCATTTCAGTTTTTTTCTACAAAAATCTCTCCACGTGATTTACCACTAGACTGCAATTTTGAAAGAGCCTGAGACAATCAGTAAGCCGCCGCAATATTCTTTGACTTCATAGCATTTTTCAATTGGATAATTTATGTTTTTTATATTGATGTTCCATAATCCTCAAAATACTTGGTGAAAGCATAGCTTATAAAAACATTATAGAAACAACTCCAACGCCATTACTTTAAGGCATTAGGAGGGATTGTCATTTTCCTCCTCTGTCCCGGAAAGGTTCTTGGCACTAATTGCCATTTACATTTGGTTTACTCTCCGTAAATTAAGTATTATCAGCGATATCTATTTTAAAGTACAAATACGGTTCCATGCATATAGCATCGGTTTAACGGCACCTCAGAGGCACCCCGGGAAACAAACCATAAACTACAAGCATCTCGTTAATTTATCAGCATGTATGCATCCAAAGAAAATAATTTATTGCGGTTATGAAGCCGAATTGATCACTGTATTCGATAATCAACCTGAGGTTGTGGATTGTTTCTTCTACCGATAAGGGGGCAGGATCGCTGGAGAAAAAGCTAAATCTACCTGACGTTTCAGATTCCCGCTCAAACCCCTCATCAGTTACAACAGCGGATTCGGGTTGTTCATGAACAAGGTGCCGTATCATTTAAAGGACGCAGTCGCCATGCGCCCGCATACCTATGAATATTCACGGCTCCTCTCTTTCATGAGGGATCGTTGCACATGGTGTGATGATTATTAAGTGGCCGATATTGGCGTCGCTAGTTGATGCAATTCCATCACGTTTGTTGGATGTTGGTGTAATGATTGCTTGACAATCTGACCCACCGACCATAGCGTTGGGAACTGTGGTCAACTGAGCGCTTCCCGCATGGATACTTACTCAGCCTAGGCGAAGTTTCAGCACGGAGTATGGAAGGGGAAGAAGGAGACACGATCGCCGGGACAAGAGCTTTATTAGCCTAACGCTTCGGATTCCTACTCGAATCCATCATCAGAGACAAAAAAGCAGAAAACGGGTGGTTGCTGCACCAGGGGCTGCGGTATTCATAGGATGCAGCCGCCATGCCACCGCATTCCTATGAACATTCACGGCTCCCTCCCCCCCACCCCTTCATCCGGGATCGTCGCACCTGGTGTGACCATTGATTGATGGCCGACATTAGAGTCGATAATCGCTGCAATTTCATTACGTGCGTTGAATGTTGGCGTGATGATTGCTCGAACATCTGACGCGCTGATCTGGTTGGCGGAGTGAGTGTTCACCTGTGCGCTCCCCGCGTGGCCAAAAACTCCGCCTAGACGAAGTCTCAGCACGGAGTATTGAATGGGAAGGTAATTACACTTGTTAACAGACTGGGGGCCAATAAACCATGACTCAAACAGCTCCCGGCTCACACGGTTGTCACCTCTCGCGAGAATTTTGGCCTCGTCAAATTTGAATGTGTGGCCGGATCTCGTCGTATGAGCCGCAACTTGACAGCTGGCGTCATTTCTTCGCATCACTGCAGCGTGTTCGGCCATTTGCGTTTGGAGTTGTCTTTCGGTTTCTCCGACGTCGTTGCTTTGTCCGCAACTGCACCATATCCGATAAACAAATCCAGACGTTTCTAGCTGTGGCAGTGGGTCTTTCGGTTTCATGGTCAGACGCCTGATGGTTACCTCCGGTCTGTGTGCAACTCCAACCCCAAGTAGCGCGGAAGTGCGGCTGACTTTTTCCGAAGCGTTCTTGACATATGGAAGCGCTCGCCAAACTTTGGTGTCCCTGTGGTTAGGCCTTTCGTCCCTTTTGCGTATGTATCGGTTGACAAATTTGCGCGGGTAGCCATTGGCTTTGAAGACCCGTCGGAGGTACAGTAGTTCGGCAATTTTGTCTTCCGGCTCACTGCAGTGCGTTTCCACACGCCGATAGAGCGTCCTTACACAACTGCGTTTGTGGCTGATTGGATAGTTACTGTTGAACTTCAGTACTTGCAGCATATTTGTCGCTTTCCTGAAAACTTTGGTTTTTAGTTAACCACAATCTTTGCGGCATACGAGGACATCCAAGATAGCCAGCTGGTTGTTCTCTTCCTCCTCCATCGTAAATTGAATGTCCGTGAAGACGGCGTGGAGATATTCTTGGAATGTCAACACCTGATCCCGTTCGATGACGACGAAGGTGTCATCCACATACCGGGCCCAGAATTTCGGTTTGTGGTGTTGGAAGACCAGCGACTCTAACCGTTGCAGGACCGCCTCGGCGATGAATCCCGAAATCGGCGAACCCATTGGTGTGCCCTTCACCTGTTCGTAGATTGTCCCGTCGAACGTGAAGTACGTCCTAAGACAGAACTTCAGGAGCTGAAGGACTTGGGCATGTCCAAGACGGTACTCCGTTTCATCGTATTTGCTTTGTAGAAGCAACTCGATTGTCTCGATCGCCAGGTCCTAGGGAATAACAGTAAAAAGGGATGTAACATTGTGCACAATTCCTGGAGAAACTCAAAGGGGTCAGCATCCATCCAAATGAGGTCATGGTATTTTTGATCTAGTCCCAGGAAGCAGTATAAAAAAGGAAACACGATCGCTGGGACAAGAGCTTTATTATCAACTGTATCGATCTTCTCCTTCATTTTTGAGACTTTGCCTAAGTGGAGTAATTAGCAGCGCGGGAAGCGCGCAGGCGAACACTGTTCCCAAGGCCAGCGTCGGCGGGTCAGATGATTGAGTAATTATCACACCAACATCCGACACTCGTAATGAAATTACAACAATTAAGGGGGCGAATGAATATGGATAAGCTGGAAACTGCACACAAAACGGCGTTGCAATTACTTTATGCATCGCTGAACGCATGCACCATACGCACTCACGTACTGCCAAGCTCGAGAATACAGTCCTACAATTCGATTGCTAGCTGCCAGGATGTTTCATTCATTCACTAAGAGAAACAAGTAGAAAACGGGGCATATTTCTTAATTTGAATTTAGAAACAATTGTTGTTTCTCCGTGAAAAAAAGGCGGAAAGCCAATCGGAAGGCTCTGTCTAATGCTACACAATGAGTGACCGATCTCATGAAATGTTGGGTAAAATGCTGAAATGCCTTTCAGATTAGGAAGGATTATTTAGGCGCGGTTGTAATAGTGATTATCTTGCGACATCATCCTATCGTATTTCGGATTTGACAGGATGCCAGCTTTTGAATACACTGCTCCAAAATTTTCTCTCTACTCTCTAAAAATGTCTGCAAACGTGGCATGCACTTGGCATATTGATTTTTGATGGTGTAGCAAATTCAAATATATTTTGTTGAAACCACGATCCAAATATGTTTTTTTTCAGTCGTTCAGGAGAGGATCACGTCATCATTAAATTTTGTACTCAAAGAGGCGGTATGATTAGATTTTAAAAGTTTCTAATTAGGAGATTTTTTCAGACGATGCAATGTCGATTCATACAGCATTGTACCTGCCCGTTTGCCACTGTTCCTTATAAAACGTACAACGGAATCCGCAGCAATTGCGAAATGTTTGGACGCTCTATGGTATCTTTTTAAAGGTATAGAAGGGTATGTGATTTTTTCTACGCAAAACACATGCATTTTGTCGACTTAAATCACTACACGCTAATGTAAGGACTGATCAGGCTCCCAATTCTTTGGGAGTTAGTTGTGTAAAAATAGATGCTACATTTTATGTCATATTTTATCAAATACTGTTTCTATAGGAGATTGAAAAACAATGCATTCAAATGCTGGCACCCTGCCGAGTCCAAAATATGATAGGAATATGCCGTAGGATAATCAGTATTACAACCGCGCCTAAATAATCCTTCCTAATCGAAAACTCATTTCATAATTTCAGCCAAACATTCAGGATGTTAGCCAATCACTGTAGTAGCCACGGGGATCAACTCATGGCTTCAGAATGTATAATGCGTTAAGGCCTATAAAAATATGATAATATGTTTTGAGCGTGTAAAATTACATAAATATAAAACGTCTTTTAAAATATATAGAAATTTTTTGCATCGTCTGAATCAAAAACAACATAATATATACGTTTAACACGACATGCACACTGAAAATGCAGTAACTGACGGAACTTATAAAACATTATTAGGGAAATTGGCATAAGCAGATGACAAATTGTTCTGGATCCGAGTACCCTAAGAGAAAGCTGGCTGCTATCCGGGTCAGCTAGCCGGCTGTGCTTATCACATAATGGACCTGCAATCCGAATAACGATCCGCTCCGGTAACGGGTCTGTTGAGATTTCGGTAAGATGTCGTTATGTAGCCTCATCTGATGGACGCAACACAGATGGGGTTATGGTTAGTGTAAGCAGTTAGGGCAGCTATTTCTCAACCATTCAAAGTCAAGCAGCGCATTGACAAAAATTGTTCTTCTACATACAACTACTTGTCTTCGTCGCCTGTGCGTCCCTCGGCTGCGCCTGTAAAACCTCCCTATTACCACTAATCCCTTATTACAGGTGGCTGGGGTTTGTTTATCTCAGGTGGGGCTACATTATCACAACTGACTTAAATTTCGAAGGGAAACCTCTTTAAGACGCGAGCAGGTAAACCAGAACGGTGTCGACACGTGCTACTCACGCTGCGCAAAAGTTTCATGCAAACCCGCAACTACGGTCAAATATGATGGAGTTGTTGTTGGTCGTCATTCTCTAACAACCATTGCACCTTATCCTATCACCAGTCGGTTCGGAGTTCCGAATAATCGACTGGTGTATTGGAAAAATATGAAAGAGTGTATATGACACTTGAGACTTTATCCCAATGCCAAATCTGCGTTTTCCGCCGTAAAACCAAACTAAATGTCTTGCATCTATCATGATTTATTAGAATCTATGCCTTCAGATATATAACTCGGTTCTTTTCAAAACCGAAGATAGAGTAACATTATCTTCCTCTTAATGTGACCTCCTCGGCACCGTCATTGTTGCCTTATTGAACACGAGCGAGGTCAGACTAGCATTAGACACGCTGCGCAGAGTTTCCGCAAGCCCAAAATTACTCTCTATCGTGAGAGGCATATGGTGACGCTGTTAGATTTAGGTCCCATTGCTGGGCCAATCACTTCACCCAGTCCCATCAGCTGGTTGCCGTACTCAAACAGTCGGCTGGTGCTAGAAATTATGACTTTAAACGGATACCTCTATCCTTTTTAAATCTGAAAATCAGGCTGTAATGATTCCTTCATAATGTGACCACTTCGGTGCCGACAGCGTTATTTAAGTTTTATTCACATGCACAAGTGTCTGCTACATAAGGGGAGGTTAGATGCTGAAGCCCACCTCCTCCCGTCTTACCGTCTTCTTCTCATTGGATCAACAGGAGTGAGAAGGGGGAGAGTGCAGCAATCATTGTATACGTATTATTTATCCTATATGCTACTGTTTTAGGTTAATCCCACCCAGTGAATGACGGATATGGTCGTCCGCAACGTTCGAATAGTCAGACATTTGACAAGAAATGAATGACAACGCTTTGGCCACAATTAATTGTTGAAGTGAAGGCTTCACATTCAGAGAGATAGGCATAACGCTGAAGTAAGCATTTTATTTGTATAATGCTTTTATTCTCAAACGGCACCACTTGCGTATTCAGTACTCCCGTTGTTTGCCATGCCCCAGAATATCGGTTTGAGCCTGAATTACGGTCGTCAGCCGCACAAGATTGTTGTTCCAGCCGTCGCGTCTACTTCTGGAAAATTGTCCATAAAACTCTATCGGTAAAGTTTGTTGGAATCAAAATTCTTCCACGCGCGAGAATATGCAGGTTACAAGTGGCGTCCAACGCATCAGCATGTACAGTCGGCATTCTTAAGCGCATAGAGGTTTTACTACCGGCACTAGGGCGGAGTTATTGTCAGGTTGGAAGCAAGAGACGACCACCTATTGGTTAGGTCGTCTCGCTATTCGCGAGGCAATTGACTAAACAGAGCGTCCGATATTTATTCGGGGTCGACTGTTTCTTTCCGCTCGGGTGAATATTTTCACTCTAGGAGTCATTTGCATTTCCGGACAGTCACAACCAAAATATTTCACTGCAGGAGACAACTCGACTTCAAGGTCACTTATTTACCGGTATAACGGAAGCAGACTGGCAGGAATCAAGTGAATGACTTTGGATCCTGAGAGCTTCATAGGTCGATTTACGAAAATATAGGTCAGACTAAATTCGTTGCATTTAAGCCGAATAATGTTGGCGTTTGAGCCACAAAATTTTCAGTGTATTGTTGCAGGTCTTAAGGCAAAAACGGATTAAAACGTCTTAGTCTGCCGTCCGGCGAACACCTTATGCTATCGTGTGTGAAGTAAGTTAAGCCTTGAAAAAGGTAAAGGAGTATTCCGTCTAGTTGACGGCCTGCATTTTAAGCAGTTTTTGACACCTAAATTTAAACTCGAACATCACACCTGTTTTCCTTCTTTGAGTGTAGATTTTTGCCTGACTAAGTGTCGGTTAAAAAGTAAATTCCGATAAAAAACATGAGATCTTTATTGCGGAAAGTAAACCTGAACCAAATCACATGGTCAAGCAACAGAAAGCTTATTATATTCACGTAAGTTTTCTACGAAATAGTTTTCATTTTCTTTCGAAACAGTGGTTACCTAAAGACCACAGAAGTTAATGTTATGAGCCTCCAGGATCTTATTAAAAATTACGTATACGCTCTCCACTTCGTCTTCTGATTACTGCTGTAAGAATTTTCGCAACTCTAAAACAGTCCAAAAATTTAAATCTTGCTTTTCAACCAACTGATCCAATTCCTCATGACTTGTTGGGTACGCCCAGATCAGCGTAATGATCCTGGTAGGTAACGGTTTTGCGGTCATACTTAGACTGATTAGGTTGCCAATAAGTTACCCATTTGTTGGAATGTGTTGTTGTAATAGGGCAGGACCTTGTTGTATTTCGTTCTGTATATAGGAGTACCCATTACCGGATCCGTGACCCATTGCTCATCAGTACGTTTGCCGTTGTTCCAAAACTTGTGTACTGTATCGCCGTCGTTCTCTTCGATACCTGCACCTCCACCTAAAAGATGGCTAAAATGGTACTTTGGACGTTATGCAAATCTGATCTCGTCGACTTTTACTGGATTTGCCAGTGTTCCATCCGACTTGCAGCGCCTAGAAACAGATACCATGTCAGGGCAGAATTCTCCATAGTACTTGAAGTAGTCAACCACAGCACTCGTAATATATTTGGGAGTTTTTAACCACCTTCATCGGTATTCTGTAGGGCCAGACATGGCAAAGTGTTAGAAGGTCGTAAAACTTCAGAATAAAATGGGATCTTCCGTTTAAATTACAATGGTGGAAAAATTCGCTCCTTTTCTTGCCGATCGAGGGGATTGGAAGCCGCTTATTCGGACGTTTTTATTTACGAAAATCGGCGGCCAAGCGCACTTGCGAAAAAACGTTTCTCCACTAAGAGAAAATATCGTGATGCCGCCTCTCCGTCACGCACCACCTTAGCATAAAACTCTCGTAAAAATGTTTTAAGGACATGCTGAAGCAAAAACAGAAAACTAAGGCAAGAATCACGTCATAGTAACACCATGGTAACCGAAGCTCCTATCCTTTCCCGATGAGCAGTAGTCGTGCTAACTCACGAAATGTTAAACAAAATTCCGAAATGCGTTTACGTTTTGGAAAGATTAATTAAGTAGGTTTTTGAAATTGGTTATTTTACAGCATAATTCTATAAAAATTCAGTTGTCTCCAGTTGCAGACATTCGAATGAACTTCTTTTTGGCTGCAGGCGAAAACTTCATTCTGTAAAATATGAGTACTTACGTAGCACAACATTTTTTTCCTTGATTTTCGATGGCCTCAAAAATTTAATTATATTTCACGGAAGGCATGCATAAAAATATTCGTTCTTTTACTCATTTGGCTGAAAATTACGTCTCCTTTCAATTTTATACTCAAACGAATGGTAAATTTAGGTTTGAAATGTTTTCCAATTCCTGAATAATTTCGATGTCGACTTGACGTTACACATGCGCTCGGGCTTTTCAAACTATGAACTGCACATTTTCCGCGTACAGAAAATCACACGTTTCTCTGTATAGGAGAATATACATAGTTTATAAAATTTAACAGTAGATTTGAGCCATAACACAAACTTTTCAAGAAAATTTATTATGTGCAGAAACAAGATGTCTTATGAACGGACATTTCACGGTATTGAAAAATCGTATAAATAGAAACGGCACCGACGCTATATGAGGCCCATGCTGAAAAAACCAATGTAAATCTGTGTGTCTTACGGGACTGGTGGAAGGAGAAGTTATACGGGTGGGGCAAATTTGTGAGGAGGCGGGCAGGTGAACGGGGTTTGTTTATGGATAATTTTATAAAAAAACTGGAATAAACTAACGTAAGTCTAATTGTGACCTTGAAAGTAAACCGGACAATTAAAAGGGGATGCTTTTTAACACCGAGGCACTAAACTAAACCACATTTAACGCCCGTACAATAATGACGCCCAGATCAGACATCAGGGCAAGGAGTAGCCAATAGAACCCCTTGGTCGTGCGGCACGGAAACCCCATAAGAACAAAGCGTCAACATTGATCCAACCGCAGGACGCAATGCTGCTCTGCCGCGAAGATCATGTAGGTGGACCACGTGTCCTGCCAAGGTTACTTAACCAAATAAACTGCTCAACAAGAGGGTTAATATTTAAGTGAGATAACTGAAGAGAGTACCAATGAGTTAAAGTTTTTGGGTTTGTTGTAATAGCCATGCCATCATTCGATGTTTCTGTAAGAAAATAATGTTTGTATGTTGTAGAAATCCTGTGCGGAGGTCCGCAAATGATCCAAAAGGCCTACTCAATTCGATGCACCCTCACGAATGGACAGCGTTAGGATAGCAATTGACATGATCAGCGTGTTATCTTATTGTCAGAATAAAGGGCTTCCAACAACAATGCGAACCTGCGTCGTCCGCGAACCGACGATGCTGCATACAAGAAATATGAGCACCGACAGTTTTCTTTTTGAGTTCACAATGAACCACTAAATAAATTCTAGTAGAACCGGTTCGGTCTTCTAAGGCAGGCGCCTCGCTATCACAGCCGAAAGCTGTTTTTGAGCACGTCAACAACTGTAGCTGGCCAGAACGGAGAACCGTGTTAAAGAAGTGGGCCGCCCCCGGCAGCATAAAATTACGGATAAATGAAGGACAAACAGTGTATACCTAAAGAATGGGTACAAAAAAGTAAATATCAAACACTCAAAGAATTTTGTGAATCCTGAATCAGGTCACTATCGAGTCGTATTGGAGCTGACTCAAAAAGAGTTTGCGGGAATATGGGTTGGTCTCCAGAAGGTCTCTCGGGGTTCATTGCGATTAATCCCAATACAAAATATGGTTCCGTCTCAACCGAAGTGCTCTGGATGTGACCTGTAGAAAGGTCCCTTAAATGGACTGTTGGTGTGTTTTTATAACCTGTGTTATTATTGCTTGTGCCTTCACACACAGAAATCGGCAGCGAGGGTTGTGGCTATAAAAAAGAGCTACTGTGAACGACGTAGACAAGTAAGACGAAATTCGTACTTGATAGCAACGACGGTCAACGTCAGAACGCCAACTTGG